ACTCTTCTCTTGGGAAAAAGTTTGGCGAAATCTTTCTGCTTTGAGTATATGTCTATTATTGAATCAAACTGCTTAAATGAAATGTATTCTTCCAGCCAGTGCAATATAACCTTGTTTGTCAGAAACAATAAAAGAGAGGTTTATTTCATGTATGTACTTCGGAGAATTGGTGCCAATATTTGATTTGCTGAATTGTCTGGTTTTTCAGGAACCCAGATGGCGCTGTGGAATATGCCAAGCAGACCATATCTGACCTCTTGTGCAATCGCATCGATATTTCCCAATTGGTGATCACGAAGGAACTGACGAAATCGGACAATGAATATGCTGCCAAACAGGCCCATGTGGAACTTGCCAACCGGTATGGCGAATCATCAAATGCTTTCTCTCTTCAATCATATATCTACACCTCACCTCACCTGCCTCACCCCATGTCCCCCATCAAACTTTACCCGCCACTAAGATTTATTTTAACTCTGAGCAGATAATCCCTCTGTTTTGCATGACTGAGGTCTTAATTTCTTGTTCAGGTAACTTGGTGTCACCCGGGAGTGTTAATGTTGATTATCTCTGTTATGAAATAGATTTCAGATCTTGGGGATTCTGTTTACATTTGGACTATTGTCCTCCTCTTAGTTATCTTCATAATGTTTCAGCCACTGTGCCTTCTTCAGGTATCTGTCAATCCAGGTAACTTTCAGGGAATTCCAAACTGAACACTTTATTTAATTTATGGGGGTAGATTGTTCTCATTTTCTACTCCAGGTCTTGGGATTTTCTTCCCATCTTCATTGTTGAAGGTCAGTGATCAAGGACAGTTGTCGCAGTTTTGAATTCAGAGTTGCCCTCCCCCTAGAGAGCCCAGTCTGTCCTGCTATTTAACCCATAGCTGAGAGGGGAAAAAGAGATGGATTCATACCTTTTCCCAAGGGTGTTTGCATGTAAGTGAATGTAATGGTCTGGACTGGAATTAAAACTGCTTTCTCATTCAAAGCTGCTATCCAACTCCACCTGCATATCATCAATCCATGACATATCCAGGGTCCCAAATCTTCATCTGGCCATTACTTAAGAGTGGGCTATAGAGCTGAAGCTCATACACCCTCCTCACAGGAATGAAGCTGTTGTCCACTTGAAGGATTGTTGTCCAGGTGACTAAGGTCTCATATTTACCCAAATTTTGAAATCTGTGATTCTTCTGCTAGACAGACTGCCAACTCAGGCTAATGATCTCTGTCTACCTGTATTCCATGGGGTAGCAATGCAGGAATGTTTATCTCAATGGGGTATTTGATATACCTGGATATGCATGTCTAGGGATATCTTGTTTTTATTATTTAGGGCTGCTCAGTTATTGCTTGTCCTGTTTCCGTTGCGTCTCAGTCTGTAATACTTGGTCAACGGACTGCACTAAAAATTACTATGTAACCAAATTCAGAAATTCTTACAATGCAAGCAAATTCACAAATTCTCATCATTCCACAAAATCAGACAGAAATTGGTCAGTCTAGGCAAATGAGGTTAGTATCATTCATTCATTTTAACAGTAGCCTTCTCGCTCAAGTAAAAAGCATAGTAAAAACAAACAGCCTACCTATTCCACTTTCCAATAACCGTATACCCCCAAATCCCTTAGATATGTCAATATTTCTTATTACTTTAAACCTGTTTAGTGCTTACATGGGTTTGAGTAGCACCCCCATTTTTTTAAACTGTAAATTTACATCCACCAACCTGTGCATTTGAGTGTCTTAATAGTAATTTCTCCCTACAAAGGGGATGTAGGTTCGAACCCTGCCAAAAGGCACATCCTCTTTATTAAAAACCTTCGAATGCACAGGGCATCTTCTATCCCCACTACCATCACAGGAAACATTTCTCCCACCTTGTCAAAAAGAAAAAGCTTTAAAGGCATATTCATTTTAATTCTAGATACCTGCTCAAAGGCTGAAATTTCCTTTCCTTGGTAGCTTTATGCAATATTTGTATCTTTACTCTCCCTCCCAATCCATTTACACAAGTTCGTTATGTGTGTAGCTCAATGTTTCCCTCTACCACTCAATATGTCTTGTGAAATTTTCAAAGCCCTCTTTCCTAAATATGTTATTTATTTGGTGTTACTTTGTCGTCAGAATCAAGAAGAGGAATCCTGGAATTGCCCCCCAACTTGGTGATCGTGTACCTTATGTGATTATAGCTGCTCCAAAGAATACGGCTGCCTACCTCAAATCAGAAGTAAGGTTTTTTTGTTTAGGCTTTTTTTTGTTTTGTTTTGTTTTTGTTTTGTTTTGCTTTTTTTTTTATTTGTTTTGCTGCTTTTTTTTTTATTTGTTTTGCTGCTTTTTTTTTTATTTGTTTTGCTGCTTTTTTTTATTTGTTTTGCTTTTTTATTTTGTTTTGCTTTCTTTTTTTTTGTTTTGCTTTCTTTTTTTTTTTTGTTTTTTTTTTTTTTTTTATTTTTTTTTTGTTTTGCTTTATTTTTTTTTTTTTTTGTTTTTTTTTTTTTTTTCTTTTTTTTTTTTTGCTTTTTTTTTTTTTTGCTTTTTTTTTTTTTTTTGCTTTTTTTTTTTTGTTTTTTTTTTTTTTTTGTTTTTTTTTTTTTTTTGTTTTTTTTTTTTTTTTTTTGTTTTGCTTTCTTTTTTTTTGTTTTGCTTTCTTTTTTTTTGTTTTGCTTTCTTTTTTTTTTTTGCTTTCTTTTTTTTTTTGTTTTTTTTTTTTTTTTTTTTTTTTTTTTTTTTTTTTTTTCTTTTTGTTTTGCTGCTTTTTTTTGCTTTGTTTTTGTTTTGCTTTCTTTCTTTTGCTTTGTTTTTGTTTTGCTTTCTTTTTTTTGCTTTGTTTTTGTTTTGCTTTCTTTTTTTTGCTTTGTTTTTGTTTTGCTTTCTTTTTTTTGCTTTGTTTTTGTTTTGCTGCTTTTTTTTGCTTTGTTTTTGTTTTGCTTTGCTTTGCTTTTGTTTTGGTTTTTTTTGTTTTGTTTTGCTTCTTTTTTTGTTTTGTTTTTGTTTTGTTTTCTGTTTTGTTATTTTCCTAGCATATATATTTTAAATTTTGTATATATTAAAATGATTTTTGAAAGAAGATAATTCTATTGCAATACAAAGAGAATTTACGAAATCACAAATTGACCAGACATGAAATTTTACATCTTTTTCTTTGATGTTCTGTGTCTCTGTAGAACATTGGTGATCATGGCTCTCCACAGTTTCCTGTCCCTTGTAACTCTTAATAACTTTTGTCTTTTTGCCATCTCCCCCAAACCCTGCTCTGACATCCATTCGCTCAAGCTCTCTAGGTAGGTTATGCATTGCTTTCCGCTGTCTCTCTTACTTTCAATCTGCCCCATGAGTATCAAGTTTTCCAAGTCTTCTTTCTTTATTATATGGCCCAAAAATTTTAACTGTCTCTTTCTGAATTGAAGTAGAAATGTTGTTTTTACTGCCATTTTCTCTGAATTTCATCATTGCTCACACATTTGGTCCATGGTATTCTCAACATCCTTCTGTAGAACCACATTTCTGTTGCTTCAAGTCACTTCTTCATCTATAGGGCGATTGTCCAGCATTCACTGCCATATAAGACAGCTGATATTATGTAACAGTTCAGTACTTTTTCTTTGTCTCTAACGAAATTTTCCTGTTATTTAATGCTTTGCTTAGCTTTTAGAAGGCCTCCTTTTCTATCCCAATGCACCTTTGGAGATTTTGCATGCTTTCTATGAAATAAATTATTCTCTGAACACCAAGGGAGATAATTTAAAAAAAAAAAAAAAATCTGTTAATCTTATTGCATGGATTCTTGTGTGATTCCTGTTGATGTATACATACAAGATAGAAATTCATTTAATCATAGATTCACACAAGCATATTTAAAACAGATGAAAGTAACTCCCAAAACCATCCCTGTAATTTTCATATGTCTCACTTTATGTATTTTTTAACATTTGTTTTTTTTTTTTCTTGTATCTGACTATTTATTCGTTGTCATTCTCTCTCTCCGTAGAGTAATGACTTTTTTTATTTATTAATCCAACAGATTTTTATCACTTTAAACATTATTTTTAGTGGACATCCATATTTGGTTGGTTGATTTTTTTATGTATATAAAATATTACATAACTTGTCCCTGTCTGAAATTATAGTCAACCATACATGACATAATCAGAAAATAAGAGTGATGACTATAGTAAATTTAAATTCAGCATTTCTAAAATTAGATTACAGTGAATATTTTCCAACATTTTTAAGATTACTGAGTACTTAAAAATTGATATAAAAAAGGCCCTCATCTGTCATTTTTTAAAATTGTTTTAACATATAAAGTCTCTGTAGAACAACAATAAACATGTTGATGACAGATTTTATCATTTCTCATCAAGTGATCTACAAGTTACAAGCGACTGTGATGTGTAACCACCACTACCATTTGTTTAAAAAATTCATTTCTGTGTTATAATAATTTTTTTTTTTTTTTTTTTTCTGTGTTAATAAGTTTTATGAGTTGGAAATAAATTTGGGAATAATTAAAATTAATTGTGAAAGTCACCCATGAAATAAAAAAGAATTGTTTGTACAGAAAGTAAGGACCTACGCACATCAAATTGTCATTTAAGGTAAATAATATTTTTTTCAATTCTGATTAATTATACTTTAAATCAGCTTATATGCCTCAAATAAAGTTTCAGAAAAGTATATTTTATTTTTGGAAGATTTTTAAAACTGAGAATAAATTTTTGTTTATAAATGTGTCAAAAATGGCTAATTTTGTGAAAGCAACTAAAAAGTTGCAATTACAATCAATATAATTTCCATTTGAAATACACCGGAGTATTTTGCTTCCTGGAAATAGTAAATTTAATCATCTAGCTTTCAATTAAAGCTAAAATGAAAGCATCAAGAATGCTTTTTCATTTTTAAAAATTCATTTTAAACCTTAGTTATGAAAAGTTCAGTGGAGGTGCCCAGTTTAAAGTGATAAAATCTGTTGGATTAATAAATAATTTAATCATCTACTGATCTAGACACAGAAACTTTTAAGGAATATGTACCTTTCAGTAAGTGGATATGCAGGTGGTGCAATGGATAGCTATTCTGAATGAGAAATCAGAGAGCCAATTTACAGTTCCAGTTGAGTTTCTTACGTTCACTTGCACACAAATAGCCTGGGGTAAGGTATGAATCCAACTCTGCTCTCATCAGCCAAGGATTACATAGCAGGATAGACTGGGTTCTTTTGCCTTGGTTGTTAACCAGTCTAGAGATGATGCTTGATAAAAACATCCATCCCCCAGCAGTCTGGGCTGCTTGTGGGGATACATCAACCTATAAAAACGCACAGTGACTGATATTCTTCAGTTGTGTGTATTGTGCCTTCTGCCTCAGATGGAAAAAGCATTTCTCATCTTCAGCTCTCAGTAAGAAAGTTAATAGCAGATTTAAATCCATTAATCTATATAATAAATGTGAATGTTAATGTGTCACACTTTTTCAACTTTACTCCTAGATAATCGGTAGCCCAACATTTTGGAATCAGGCTGACTCTGTGAGCAAATTAAAAACATTTCAAGGCATATATGGATACTCAATCCTTAAATTTTGGATTCCCAAGTTTTTACTGTGGTTGTTTTCGACAATTTTTGTGACAAATTTTTTTTTTTTTTTTTCTGTGGTAATAATTTTTATGAGTTGGAAATAAATTTGGGAATAATTAAAATTAATTGCGAAATCCAATGAAAGTCACCCATGAAATAAAAAAGAATTGTTTGTACGGAAAGTAAGGACCTACGCACATCAAATTGTCTTTAAATTAAGTGGCAGCAGAAGAATTATCGTTGAACTTTTAAAAGGTAAGCTTACATATTAATGCAATGCTTAAATGCAGTGATCAATTCTGAGTTCTTCCATAGTTTATTGTTGCCTATTACATCTATTTCTCCCTTCAAGAACCCTCCACAGGAGCTAGCTTAAATGCTGCTCAATGAGGTGGCATTTAAGCTAGTAACATCATCATTAACATCATCCACAGACAGACTGTTTCGCTGTTTCACAGCTCATCAGTGTGGCTAGATATCCGGTTGCCTCTAGCTATGATCGAAACCCGACTGAATTGGTGTCAGTCGGAGATTCTACCACTAAGCTGTCGGCGCACGGCAGGGATGAAGGTGAATTTTAGTGTATTTATTTTTAGAAACACACACAGTGACTGACAGTGACTCAATTCACTTTATGCGAAGAGTATATATATATATATATATATATATAGTTAATACTAGTAATTTATGCAACTGTAGAAATAAGAATAGATGTCCATTAAATGGAGTTTGTAAAAGAGAAGCTATAATTTATAAAGCATAAGTAACAGATATCAATGGCCAAAATAAAACATACATAGGATGTATGAAAGGTACTTTCAAACGTGAATGGTACAATCATAGGTCGTCTTTTAAGCTAGCAAATCTTCGATACTCTACCAAACTAGGTAACCATGTATGGAATTTAAAAGAAAAAAAAAAAAAACAGGATCCGACTGTAAGGTGGATAATTTAAAAAAAAAAAAAAAAAAAAGCAACACCTTACAACAATATTTGCAACCTCTCTGCCGAGAGGAAAAATTAGACATTATGACATTTCCAGATCCAAAGAACCTTTTAAACCAGAAATCTGAAGTTTTAAGTCCTTGCTTAGATATTAGGAAATTTTTCTGAAGGATTGAAGCTGGATAAAAAAAAAAAAAAAAGTAATGTATATTTTAATTACCCCCCCCGATACATTCACATAACACTTGCTTTTTTCTCTTCCCCTTCTTTTTCTTCTTCCTTTCTTCTTCACATCCTCCTACTCCCTTTCTATTACACCCAACGTTGTGTGTTTGTTTATTTATTTTTGAAAATAATAATATAGTGTTTATTAGTTTTTAAAAAAAAAAATTAAAGTGTTAAGAAGCAATCATTTGATAAAAATCACCATGGGATACTGTAAGGTCGAAACCAAGGAAGCAGATTCAAATGATCTGATTTTTAAAGTTAAACACTCTACATATTATTTTTACTTTCATTTTTAATTTTTTTTTTCGTGTTTTTTTCTGCACTTTTTAATACTACTGTTAAACTGTTAATACTACCATTAAACTTTATATATATATATATATATATATATATATATATATATATATACCTAAAAGCTAGAGAGCAGGCAAACCTACCAAGATTTCACCTAAGCGAATGGTCAGGGAAGGCTGGCTTCCCTGATGATCCGCTTAGGTTTAACTAGGTCTGCTCTAATTGTATTGAGCACTTTAGTTGTTTTGCCTACTCGGGGTTTTTTCCTTCAGGCCTTGGACTTGCATGCTGGACGATTATTTTCAGCTAACGTATATGTTCTTGGTTCTTTCTTTTTTATACCTTTTTTTTTTTTTTCCCTTTGGTATTGGTTTGATTATTTGCAAATCAAGACAACGAAGGTTTTCCAAACAAGTGTATTTTCTTATACCTATAGGGATTACTACTAATACCAATAATATATAAATATATATTGAATTATTAATCAGTGAGCTGAGTTTGAATTCCATTTGGGTTTGCACAAATCCACCTCTTCCCCCTTAGTTATGGGTTAATTAGTAAGACTTGTATCAGTAAATTATTATGTTCAAAAAATTCATTTTCTGGCTTTAAATAACCTACAAAAGGTTAAGCCATAAAAAAACAATCAATTTCTTAGTAATTAAAATCTATTTTTTTTTTTTTTCATGTATATTTTCTGTGAAGTGTCATATATTATTATCATTATGCTAATATTGTAATTAATTTCAGGATCCAATTTATGTATTGGAAAACAACATTCCCATTGATACGCAGTATTACCTCGATAACCAATTGTCAAAACCATTGCTTCGGATATTTGAACCAATCCTTGGAGAGAAAAAAGCTGAATCAGTTTTACTCAGTAAGTTTTCTTCCTTCACTTTCTTTTCTTTCCTTTTTCTTTTTTTTTAAGTTGGTATAAAACAAAAATTCTACTGCTATCACAGTTTCATGACATACATTCTTTAAATTCTCCAAAATGAGTTGTCTGTGATGTTTTCCTGGCTTAATTAAAAGTTTCTGATTTTTCAATATTAAACAGCTAACAACCCCATTTGGGTTGGTTTCTTCAGGGGTTATTTGGAACTATTCACCTTTGACTTCCTACAACTTCCTTTTTCAAATCCAATGCATTTAATTCATACAAAAAGTAGATTAGTAAAGTAAATAATATAAAATGGCGAAATCCCTTCGCTAACAAAATTTTAAAGGTGCATTAACCTACCAATCACTCGATGAATGTTATGATCCTTGTTTTTTAAAATTATAAGCTGTATAAGGTCTTTCTTTAATACACAAGTACTTTCGACTGCACATTCAGTCATCTTAAGGCATGGAAATTATTTTGCTTTTGGTAAAATTCAGGTAGCATCCAAGGCAAAAAAATATAATGCAAATCAAAATATGTTATTTTGAAATGTTATTGATAACGGATACAAACTTTTGGAGTATGCAGTCACAATGCTAAGGTTGAATTTTTGAAAATTTAAGAGACTGTGTTTCTTACTAATATGGCAATTTGATAATTTTTTGTTGTAGGAGTTTATCAGTCAATGTGGCATTTCGATTTACATATCACAGATATTCACCACTTTCCACTAAGTACTGCATGCATATATATATATATATATATATATATATATATATTTTTCCTCACTGGTAGCACAACTCTAAGTTTCATGCACAACACAATCTTCTGGCGCTAAGTTAAAGTCAGTTTTCAATCAGCACTTGAAGATTGCATTGTGTATGAAACTCGGAGTTGTGTTACTGGTGATGAAAAAAGTGTGTATAAATTATAGCTCTGTTTTTTTTTTTACATCAAAGATTACCTTATTAACACAAGCACTCAGTGTGTGATATATATATATATCCTTCAAGGGACTTTATTAAAACAAATGTAAGGATGTTATTTTGTGACAAGTATTTATATACATGAACAAAAATGTAATTGGATTTTTACAAACTCTTTTGGTAATGGGGTGCTCATGAATATTCATCAGGTTAGTGGAAAAGTCAGGCAAGTTCATGGACATGAAGTGATACAATTCAATGCCTAATAAATGAAAGTGAGGAAAAGGAATTAAAAAAAAAAATATTTGTGTGTGTGCGTATTAAATAAATAAATAAATATAATATATATATATATATATATATATATATTATTAATAGAAATCTTATAAGTATTAGAAACTATACTCGCTCGGAAAACCTTTGGTGTCTTGATTTGCAAATAAACAAAGCAATACCAAAGGGAAAAAAAGCTATAAAAAAAAAAAAGGACCAAGAATATGTACGTTAGCTGAAAATAATCGTCCAGCATGCAAGTCCAAAGAACCCCCCCGATACGAGTACGCAAAATAACTAAATAAAGTGCTCAATACAATGAGTAGAGCAGACCTAGTTAAACCTAGAGAGTCAGACAAACCTACCAAGGTTTCACAAAGCAGATCATCAGGGAAGGCTGGAAGAGCCAGCCTCCCCTGATGATCCGCTTAGGTGAAACCGTGGTAGGTTTGTCTAGCTCTCTAGGTTTAACTATTTAAATTATTTTTGATCGGGATTGATTTATGTGTTATATATTTTGAATGACACAAGGCTATGAATTTAACTATTTTCTTTAGATTTTTTAGTATTATTGTTGTCATGTATCTTGTCTTGGGGAAAAGGAGTAATTGCAAAGAATCTGAGGAACATCATATTTTGATAAGTTTTACTAGCGGCACTTTTGAGACTTTTTCTTCTAAACAAGTTACTTCCTTTTACTTTTCTTATATATAATGTGTATCATTCTGTTTTTTTTTTATCTTCCAGGAGGTGATCATACCCGAACTAAAACTGTAGTCATGTCCAAAATTGGTGGATTGGCAGCATTTACCAAAAAGAAAAGTACCTGCATTGGTTGCAAGGCTGTTCTTGATAACAACAGTAAGTTTTCTATTACCATTTGTAAATGTCTAATAATGCTCTTATTTTCATGATGGACACAAAAATCTTTCAGACATACCATCTGCTTTAAGAGACCCTGCATTGTGCACATGCTTAAGGAGTGAATCTGTGTGCGCACACTTAACAGCCTCCCCCACATATACAGGTTTAATAGTGATCGAATATGCCTGTTCGAGATTGTACACAATGAAATTTCTTGATGGATTGAACTGAAATTTGGCACAATTCATTTTTCACCTCAAGATTATGATCATATTAAATGATTCTTCAAAAGAAGAAATTTTTTGTGGGGGTTGCAGTATCTGCCAAAAGAGGCTTTCCATCACCTTAACCATTGCATTAATAGCAATTACTTTTTCTTCTCTCTGTTTTACTCCACATATTTATCTATTTCATAAATAGTGCAATTTTTTTCTGGCCATAACAATAGACTTTCCCACTGGGTTAATGTCTTGCAATCTGATCTCACTGCTTAGTAAACAGAAAATCCATTATTGTGATAACAAAGTAGACTCATCACTAATGAAATTCAAAAAGCAACCTGATACCTTAATGTATTTTTGTGTTAAAAAAAAAAATATATATATATATATATATATATATATATATACATAAAATTCAAAATATGAGTCATGTCTGAGATTTCTGACTTTTAATATCTTCCATTTGGTCAAAAGATCTAACACAGAGGTCGACAACATTTTGCTAACTATGTGCCGACTTAAGGTTTTAAAATCATTCAGTGTGTCAACAGCATACATATATATTGATCTTGACTTGTCAAGGTCAATATACCTGTTCTACAGTTTATTTTATATAGTAATATATAATAATATATACAATATGTAAACCACATTAATAGAAATAAACTGTTTTTAAATTTTTTAAGGTTTTATTATTGAGTCCAACAAGTGAACAGTTTTGAAACAGCTAAATATCATCTTTGTGTTGTAGTAGTTATTGGTTCGGACTTTGTGATGTCATTTGCATTGCAGTATCTGTTGACTTGTCTATTAGACATGAACCTCTTATTCATAAGTCTTTCTGTTACCAAACTGGTTCTGGCATGATCACCAAAGATAAGCAATGTCGAACCTGGTCAGTAACTAAATGACTGACGATTTAGAAATATCAGGTGGCTTAAGCTTAGATGGGCTGATAATCTGATACTGTTGTACAATATATTTTATATAGTATATATACTTTAGTATATATTAAATTTGAAACTGCTAAATATCTTTTTTGTGTTGTAGTGGTCATTGGTTCGGACTTTGTGATGTCATTTGTGGCTGAATGTCATTGGAAATTGTTTGGTGTGGTACACGTGCTAATATAAATTACTTATTTTCACAAAAAGCAGTTGCTAATCATCTGATTATTGTGTGAAAATGCATGAAACTTTTAGTTGTAGCTGGCCATTTTTTACCAGGAAGTATTTATAAATGATATTAATAATCTGCCATTAAATGTGGAATTGAGTGCCTATTTTCTCTAGTGTGTGCCTTGGTAGCATAATTCCTTAGTCGCTGACTTTGTACATTTTTTACACACACACACACACACACACACACACACACACACACACATATATATATTATAAATTAACTGATTTAAAAATACGGTTCCTTCGCTACACAGGAATTACCATGTTTCAAAAACAGAAACTAGCAACTTCAAATTCAATTATTTAATCAAATTAAAAGCACTAGTTCTGGTTCATTTCAAGTGAATTTTGAAATTTACTGAGTTTTAAAAGCACATACATTTATGATATTTTTTTTCAAAGTATACAGAGAAATTCAATCATTTAGACGGGCTATAGCGTGTTCATATTTATGAACAACTATTGTATCAAATTTGAGTTACTTTCAAAAAGAGTTTATGTCTAGGTAGGGTGTGTGTGTGTATGTATGTATGTATATATATATATATATATATATATATATATATATATATATATATATATATATATATATGTATAAATTTAATAAGATAAGATAATTTGTAAGATAGTGATCATAAAATGAGATACAATAGTATCACCCTGAATAAAATAATAACTTTAGTTACCTTTCGACCGACTCATCTTCAGAAATTGATATCGTCGGCATAAAACTAAATTGCTGAAAAGAAAAAAATTTTCTTCAACAACCAAATTTTAAAATAGTGTAAAAGCGGGAAGGAGATAAAAAAAATATGTATATTTGGGCAGCAACCTTTGTTTTAAACATTTTTCATTAATATACAGCAAAGAGAGATTTAATTCTTTATTTTGTTTTTCCAGCATCCTTACATTTCTCCCTTTTGTAGGAATAAGCGGGTACAAAAATTTTCAATAATTTCTATGGTCCCCAAGTGCTTTAGCCACTTCTTTAGCCATTTTCAAGGTGGTTTTTGTTTTTGGCGGTGTTTTTTTTTTCCTCATGTTTTAACTGTTTAAATCGTATTTTATTTTTGTGTTGAAAAATAAATAAAAATTAATTAATCTTCTGTGTCTGCTGTATCTAATAAATGAATATATATATATATATATATTCATTTTTTTTTTTTTTTTTCAAAAATTTAAAAATAAATATAAATAATAATAATTTTTACCTATCATAATTTTACACAAACCCCACCACACATATATACATACATGCGAGGAAATATTTTTCAGCATAAAAATACATATGACATGTATACATTCACGAGACATTAACGAGACATTTCCGCCACACTTCCAATGTTTAAATTTCAGCATACAAATGCGTATGTATAGACATAACACCACCCGTATACATACATATGTCATATCCGAAACTGCCCACATATGTTTATATATGTATGAGTCCTGACGGACGACCAAGTATGTATATGTGTCTGCATACATCGATGTTTGCGTTAGTACGATGAATGACAAAACGACGAAGTTTCCCCCACCACTTCCACAATAACACCAATACACGCAATCTACATAAACCCCAATTTTTTAAAACATTAATCAGTTTGTCTGACGATCGCTAAAGTGTGAAACCCAGGGTCACAAACTCACATCTATCCAACCAAATATGTTAGCTCTATCTCTGATATTGAGCGCTTTCTAATAAGTACCGTGCATATAATATATAAATAATTATACATATATATATTTATTTATATTTATATACACTTTTCACATACATATATACATACACATATATTAAACTGTCAATTGCTGATATCCCTTGATGAGTGGACAGAATGATTGCTGGAGGGTCCACTGTGAGACAGGATGCTGAAGGTAACAGCAATCGGCTAAGTAACAAATTTTATATAATATATATATATTTAGAAGGCCCAGCATAGGGTAATGTTTACTGAGGCTAGTCTGGTAGACCGTTATTACCAAGTAATGGTTTTGATCCTCACTGTGTACCCCATATAAATTTATCATTAAATAAACCAATGGCTAATAAAAATATTTCTAATTGTAGAGGAAGTCTTTGGTACTTTGCCAAAACTGTAACTGAACAAATGAAGTGATGTATGTTCATCTTGATAAGTATGTACATGTGTGTGTGTGTGTGTGTATATATATATATATATATATATATATATATATATATATATATATATATATATATATATATAATGTGTACATGTATATATATATATACACACACGTGTAATTCTCTTCCTCTCTCCGTCCGAAAATAAGTTGTTGCTGAAAAATTCTTCGACTCACCCACCTCACAAAATCACTGTTCTGATGTTTGATCAGGCTATAAGAATGTTAGGAATAAGAATGGCGTTCTTATTCTTAGCGTTCTTAACTTAAGTATAAGAATATTGTGTTTAAGATTCCTAGTTCTTGCTTCAGGAAAACATCTGAGGAGATTAAAGTCTTGGTTCATAAATTTGGTGGCATAGATATTGTGAGTTCAATCTCAGGGTTGGGTAGTAAAGATCTGGAATCAGTGGAAACATTAAACATAAATTAAACATTATTTCATCCACCCATGTACATGAAATAATGCTCAGTGTGATGAATTTTGGAATGGTCAGAATTAACAGGTTATAGGGTTAAAACCTTTAGTTAATACAGAATATATATAAACCTATCCACTGTGCCATGTGTCCTTGGGGGACACATGGCACAGTGGATAAAGACGTTGGTTAGATCCAGTGACAGGACCGAAATAGTGCGAGTTCAATACCCGGTTAAGGCTGTGGAGAACCTTCAGTTGGAAATTAACAGGAGATAACTGATAACTGACATCCATTAAACATGGCACGTGGAACTAGAACAGTCTACCTCAGTGAGTGAAATAAAGGGTTCAGTTCGGCATTCCAACCACCTGAAGAAGGCTGCAGTGTACAACAGCCGAAACGTTGTAATAAATATGGCGATAAAGATGAGTACAATAGTCTGAATAATGTAAATAATAAACCTATTTTAATTTTTATAATTGATACTGATTTTATTTTTCATTTTCATCTTAAATAATGTTCTTTACGGTGGCCATTAATACAGCAAGAATTTCGATCATGAATTATGCAGTGAAAGTTTTCAGTCAGATATTACACAGTAAACATTTTCAGTCAGACATTATTCAGTGAAAATTTCAGATCAAAATTCATCTAATAAATCTCAGGCCACACACTTAATGATTCATTCTTCTATGTAATTGTTTCCATTTACTTTTGTTGGTCAAAATATTGAGAAAAAAAAAAAAACAAACCCAAAAACCCAGAAATATATAAAAAGAAAGTATTGGCCTAACAAACCTGTGTGTATATATATATATATATATATATATATATATATATAAATAAATAATGTATATAAAACTTACATTGTTATTTACAGTTTTTATTGACATATTTTGATGAAATTGGTGCAGTGTTCTCAAAATGGCCGTGCAGGGGAAGGTACAAGTGGTTTAATTTCCACAATTCTGATTGGCTACTTGTTTTTATTTAATACTGCAGTCTTGAGAAAAAAAAATTCACACTGA